CCATATATTTAATTTAAACCATGTGCTTTCCTCCTCCCTCCATCTCACTTGTTCAGCCATAAGATCCGAATTGTGAAGAACCAATTAAGCAGCTGATATCCCCACTTGTACTCAATATTTAGAGAAACTTTACATTTCTTCTTCGAGGCCGTGGGTTGCAACCTAAGTTACTTACACACTGCGGAAGAAATGCTTAAGTGAGAGGTGACAATGCTGGTTTTCATTTCAAACAATCCCGAATCCCTCCTTGGCTGGCACACGTGAAAAGCGCCAGGCAAATGTTTAGCTGACATCATGCAAATGACTGGCCATAGATTTATTTGACAAACAGTTGAGCAGACAGCCCTATATTGCACTCACTTGTACCCCACAAAACCCCAGGAGCCAGGAGAATTTTGCTGGCAGAAACAAGAGCAGAATGAAACCCAAACACTGAGGTTCACGCGTTGAGCCATTCGATCTTGGCCACTGGCCAAGCTGACAGCCACATTTAAATAAGCCACCTGCTGAGTAGGGAGTTTAAAGAGCTAAGTGCTGGGGGAGCTTTAGCTGAAAAGTATATTGAACTTCTGCAATAAGGCGTGAAGTGAAAGGACTGCAGTGACAAGGAGTACTAAAGGCCATATTATGGTTCTGACCTCTTGTTCTAGGTCAGATACAGAACAGTTTTGGGCATCCTCTGCTTCTTTGCCTGTGCTACCTAAAATGTATCACAGAGAAACTCTGTCCATACATACGTGTCCCAGGAACTGAACTATATATACAGCAGATGCTCAAATTTCATTATCTTTAATAATGCTGTATTAGAGATTAGAAATTGGGTATCAGATTAGATATTGGAAAGAACTTCTTCCCTGTGAGGGTGCTGGGGCGCTGGCACAGGGTGCTCAGAGAAGCTGCGGCTGCCCCATCCCTGGCAGTGTTCAAGGCCAGGTTGGACACAGGGGCTTGGAGCAAGCTGCTCTAGTGGAAGGTGACCCTGCCTGTGGCAGGGGGTGGGAACTGGATGAGCATTCAAGTCCCTTCCAACCCAAACTATTCTATGATTCTATAGAACAGGAATGCTTGCACAGAACATGTTAATTCCCTCTGGTTAGCTATTATTATAATTTTACTATCCAGAATTGTATTAGCTGTGTCAGAGGCAGAAGTCCTTTCCCAGGAAAGCCAGGAGATCCCTCTCTTCCCATGCACTACCTCACCATTAGGCCTTGTCCAAGTCACCTCATGATCTTGATTTGGTTCTTACCCACCTTGTCAATTTTCAAAGCTGTCTCTAAGCACCTAGATGCTGGAAGAGGACCACACTCTTTCTGCTGCTGATTATGTGTGAAAAAATAACAACTTCCTGCTATGACCAATCCAGTGACAAAAATCTCTCCAGAGAGAGAGACCAAACAAAGTGATAGGAAGGTGAGCAATTCTGCTGCTCCAGCCTGTAACAGCAGCAGGTTGCAAAAGTGTTATTTGGCTCTTTCTTAGCCCCAAACTGTTCAAATCAAATGTAAGCGAGTTACAGCTGCAAAGACCCCTGGCAGAGAGGCTTACTCAGCTCAGCCCCTCCAGCACTCAGGCTCTTAAACTACATTGCTTTTCCTCTCAGCTTCAGAGGGTACACCTGATGCATCACATCCACGCAGGTAATTCAAATAGATACCCACACTCTTTCCTCGTTTCCAGTACTACTGTTGAACTTTTCCCCTTCTCAGTCTCTGCTCAGCAAGCCCATGTATGCCCTTCTACCAGGGGAAGCTACCAGTTTATTTTTGATTTCTTTACCCTCAAACTGTCACACAAATGCCTTCTGACCTGGTGACATGGAGGTTGCCATGTCAAGTTCAGCAGCTGACTCATAGGCCATTACTCACACAACTGCCATTCTGCTTTTAACCTCCCCAGCCTGTGTTTAAAACCAAGTATCCCCTTAGCTACTCTGCTAGGAAACGCTTTAGGAACATAATTCAAGTAAAAGATGTTATTTTCAGTGTGGAAAACCTGCTAGTTAGATATAGTACATGACAAGCAAATAATTTTAGCAGCAAAGGACTTGAACACTCATTACAGTGTAATATGTCATGGCATTGCTCCATGCTATGGGCAATTAAGGGTTAATGGTTTGCCAATTAAAAAGATATAGCCAAAAGATCTAAAAAATACTGCATGTCACAGAAGGTCCTGCTCTCCAAAGTGGTTCTCCAGGTGCTGTCCAGGAGAGATCTGAACATCAGGTCATGTGTTTCTGGTCACAGATCCTGCCCTGACAGTGAGAATGATGTGCCCAGCACTCACCATATTGTGCTGTTTGCCCTTTGCTTAACAGGCAGAACAACAGAGATCAGTAGTAGGCTGCTTTACCATAACACAGGCTGTGGTAGTGTTACCTCACAGAGGACCACAGGAGGCTCAGAGACTACAGAAGTAACCTGCAAGCTATCTGTGCATATACAGCCACCTGAGCAGCGCCTCATTGCCAATCCACATGCACATCCAGCATCTTCCTTTGCCCTTAGCTGCTTCTTGATGCAATCAGAGAAAAACACTAAAACATGTAACTGCAAACCGGAAGCCTGAGGTTGCAATGTCTCTTGTGTCTGGGTGTTTGGTTCCAAAGGGTATTTCAGCCTGATAGAACTGTAGAAATTTCAAGTTCAATTTTCTCCCTATCTCAACACTGGATACCTGATCCTTTGCACACATGCACATACCTGCCCTTGGTACAGAAGGTTTCCCTTCTACTGTAGAGATCTCAGTTCAAGCTTTGAGTTCAGTTTTTATTCTCCTCCACACCGAGTACCTGCTCCTTCATGCACATGCACACACCTGCCTCCTGTACAGGTTTCCTTTTTGTTTGTTTCTTTAACTACCCTTTTTACGGGAGAATGATCAATCACTTCTCCCTCTTCCTAGTTATGTCCCTATTACAGCAGATCCTGTTCCAATAAATGATTAGTACGTGCAGAATGCATTAAAATGAATTATAATAGCAATCTGATCCCCAGTGCCTCAGCAGAACCTTTCCATCACAGGTGACAGCTTGGCTCCCCTGGGCTTAGCTCTGGAGAGAGAGCACCAGACCTCAAAACTCAATCCAATAACTTTGTATGAACCAAGTTCCAAGTACACGGAGCGTGCAGCTCTTCCATTGTCTCCAAGCTAGGAAACCTGTACCCCAAAGGCTATTCAAGAAGCTGGTACACACAACCTCATCTCAAATAAATGTAAATGCAGTTTTCCATATATTATGTGATTACAGCCTCTCCCTGCCTATGGTGCTATGTTTTATTACAGGCCACCAAAAATAATTAGTTGGTGACCCAGAAAACTGATATATAAAATCCTTTTAATCACCAATATGGCTTTCAATTATATAGTGTAAACTTATTAACCTTTTTACTGCTGAGATTTGATTTATGGAATTCCAGCTGCATTGACATTACAGGAGGAGATAGAAAGTGCCTTGTATGACGCACTGGGATTAACAACCGATAGCTGGCTTTGCTATCACAGAGCAAAGGCAGCATCCTGCGAGTCCCCAGGGGCTCATTGCTACCAGAGCTATGTGAAAAGTTTGGTCTGTGGAGTAAGGCTGTGTAATTCCTGTCACTCCCTATACAAACCAGAACACACAGGCCAGTTCTGGCTTTCAGAAGGAGCAGAGGTTGTGTGAGCGCTTGCTGCATTAATAAACAGAAAGGGCAAAGGTAGGGCTGCATTTGTACCTTTCCTCACTCGCATGGTCAGAAATAGTTGTATATTGAATTGAGACACTTTAGGGAATTCTCCTGCACAGGAATCCTTAACAGCAGCTTTATTCAAACAAAGGTTGAATGCAAAGAGAAGGGCTATTTGTGAGGGTGCAGTTATAAAAACTGATTTTCAACTATGTTCTTTACTCATTTTCATGGAACAGGTATTTTCCCTTTTTTATAGGGAAATTTAGTGGATTTCCCCCTCCACCTCTGGCACTCAGAAAGTTTCCAGAAACTTAAAGATTGGTATAAGAGGGTTTGTTCACTTTGTCCTACTACAGAATGAGCATTTAGTGCTTTGCACAAGGTCTTAGACATTCCTGGTCATCTTCCCATGCGACTGTGTTTCTAATGCAGAGATCAGCAAGAGAGATAAACAGCCCACAGTGAAGCCCTAATTAAAAACCAGATTACTAATTTGACCTAGATAATGCATCAAGATCCCATAAAGGATACAGGAATCCATATTGAAAACACTACCATACAAGACTTGATTGAATCAGCCAAGGATGAGAAGACCTGTATTTCCAGCCCACACGTGTCATTCCATTCAAGTCTCAGGAATATACACAGAAATAATGAATCTTGCCATACCCTCCATCCACAGGTCCCCTCATATTCTTGGCAGTTCATTATTTGCTGTTCAATGGCAATAAAATAGAATAGCAATGTTCTACAAGATCATTTCTGCTGTGAACACCTAACTGCCTCTTTTACAGTCTCAGGAAGATCAAAATAATAAATAGATCTGGGTCAAATTTTGCAAATAAATATCAGTTTTCAATTTCCAAACCTAACCTTTTTTTTAACCTCAGAAGCCCCGTTACAGTTAGCCTGTTTTTCAGGAATTTTTAATGTGCAAGCATCCCTCAATGACACAAAACAGCAAGGTGAAATAGCCATAAACTGAAGCAAACCCTCATCGTTCACTTAGGTTTTTGTTGTTCAAACTTGAAAAGTCATGACAGACACAGAGAAGAGACTACGTGGGCAGGTGCTCTGATAACATGAGCAAAAGCCATCATCTTTATAGAAGGGAAATGCCAACGTTTGCCATCATCTTTCTCAGGATTAAATGTTAGTGAACGAGATACAGTTTCCCACACAGGCACTGCCTCGCCTGCACAATGCACAGCCTGGTTCCCTCTGGGCAGTTCTCAGGTCACTGTTTCTCTAGCAGATACAGGTTTGGAACGGCGCCCTGCAACACACACACTGGACAAAGACCCCCAAAGCCCCATTGGGCCATACCTGGACATCCAGCGGATTCATTCCCAGCTCAGCTTTGAGATGTCCTTCTCCACGAGCTGAGATTTCTGGTATAGCATAACAGGACGCGTTACAGCCATCCAACTCATGCCAGCTCCTCCAAGGGCTAATAAGGCCCATCACAGAGATAGGAAGGTTTCCAAGCACATTCTATGAAACAAGGAGAATAAAAATCAATGGCACTGCATAATCCAGTCAGTGCTTTCCTTTGCTCACAAATCTTCATTTGTTCAGCTGGGAAAATTATGAACGATCTAGAAATAATAAAGTCAGTCAATGACAATTATAACATAAAAACTAATAGAGAAGGTGGCACGAATCTGGTGTATTCAGTTCTGCTGAAACTCATTTATAATTTTTAATAAAAATAGTAACACTTTACAAGAAGTGGACATCATTTAATACTCAATTACTATAAAATTCCTTTGGCAATATATATTAAATGCAGCAAATCTGTATTTATACCAGGAGGGTTCCTCAAGATTGATGTTATCGCAGTGAATACTAGGAGAATGTCAAGTCCAACACCAGTGCATTCAATATTCTTGCCCTCCAGGTCAGATATCCTTTCCTCCCCCACCCTGACATTTGAGACAAGTCCTTATCTGTGTGGAAGGAGCCACATGAATTATATATTATATAAAAAAGGAATTTGCAACACAGACTGCAAGGCCTTTAGCAATGATTAACTGAGACATTTTGAATAACACCACAAAAAGGTACAGCTCCTAAACAGGCAGCTTTTTCTTGGAGGCCAAGAGGTTTTTAAACCCCTACATTAATAAAACAAGCATTATTTCAGATAAAGCACAGAACCTTTACAGCAGAGCCAACTTCAACTTACTGAAGATTTCTCTTTGCAAGAAAAACACCATGAACCTTTATCCTCTACTTGCAACAGCTCTTATGCTGTAACATCCTTAGCCCTACCTTCCATTAGAGGTCACCACGTAGATCTGAGCCCTTAAACTTGCTCAGCACAGGTGGGATCAGTTACCCTGAAAAGCAAAGCAGGATCTCCCTGATCCCCTACAGCTGCCTACATTTATGCTTTTAGCCACAGATGTTAGCACTGTGACTCCACACTGCTCTTCCCTGGCAGGTTGTGGGAGAATTTGTTTGTCTCAGAGGTATTTGTGAAGGGAATAAATGGGATGTGATCACTGAAGCAGCAAATTGAACCCTACCAGGGTATGGCTAGACCTTCCTTGAAGCAGCCTTAAAACAGAGGCACCCATATTTCGTTAAGCTCCAATCTCTATTGGGGGTGGACTGGATTTGGTTTAGGAAATGCAGCTTGGGAAGCTGAATCTGAGACCATGCTTTTCACCTGGATGTATTTGCAGCCAGGGCTCTTATCTGAATGTAATTTCTAATGTAACTTGGTGCACAAAATCTATCACTTGAGGATGGCAGTTAACTGGCTTCCATGGGGCAAGTGTGCTGCCATTTGGGGTGCTGTCTTGCTTGTTTCACTGTGAAGACTAATAGGATTAGAGAAAGTTTGAAAGATGGCAGGTAAAGGTCACCAGAGCCTTCAGTCTGCAACACTGCCAGGATCCAAAGACAAACCTGAAGGAGTATGTCTCTTCCCGAAAAAGAAATACTATCGAGAGCTACTCAGCACCTTAGGAAAAAGAAACACCAGTTGGAGGTAGGGGGGCACCCTAAGTGCTCACTAGAACTAGCATTGTTCCATTTCATCTTAAATCATGTTCTGCATCCTCTGCTGGAACAGTACTTATCCCAGACCTCGGGGCAGCTCAGACACCTGGCATAATAGCTCATTAATTACTTCAGCATGGCAAATAAATTTTAATATCTTCTTGATGCTCATTACTAAACACTTCACGCATTCCCAAATACACAATGATGGTTCATTCTTCTTCATCTTAGATACAATTTGTCTCCTTCAACTCTGGGTGGCACGTGATAATGTTATATCCTCCTCTGGGGTCACCAGTTCATTTAGGAACTCAGGACAAGGTATTTATATTTTGCTGCACTTCTGTTCTCATCCTGTTAAAGGTGATTACAACATCAGGTTTTGTCCAGTGTTTCAGCATGGAAAGAGGAAAGGTGGCATGAGGTATAATGGTAGCAGGTCAGCACTTTCAATAAGCATCTATCTGTAAACAAGCCCCTTAAAATATTGCAGCAGAGGGAAAGGAAGCTGCATCTTAATTGGGCAGAGTGAAAAGTCACAGGGCTCATAAATATAATGTGGAGGTGATCTGTCTTGCCAAAAAAGAGGAGGTTCGTTACATGAAGGACACATTATCCTTTCCTCTTCCTATGATTCAGCATGGTAAGTAGTCATTCCTAATTGGCTTACAGCTTAGTATGAAATATTAGGATGCCACACAATGTGATGACACAGCTGGATTCCTAAGGGAAGCTGAAGAGTGATCTGAGAACAGAAGAGGGACAAGAGCAGATGCGGGTCTGGAAAAAAGAATAGTTGTAGCTCACAGAGTAGCATGTCATTCTTTATCCTCCTCCTCCTGTGTACAGCATGCTGTGTACAGCACACCACTCTCCTGGTTGAAAGGCAAGAGACTTGTCATTTCAGAGTTCTTAAATAAAACGTGGGGACAAAAACATGATTGCTGGAAGTATTGAAACAGGAAGAGACAAGCAAGCTGACTAAACCTGGGCAATAGCTGCAAAATACACTGCACAAATTTCACCTCTCTTTGTGTATCCAACGATGATTTCCTCAAATTTATTCTTGACTGGAAAGTATTTGCCAAATTACCCAGTCAAACAATCTGGGGGTCACTCACGGAAGCCCAGCATTCGGAAGATAAGCCATTTGAGTGGGCACCCAGGTCGTATGCTGGGAACTTGTTTCCTTGTCCTGGCCTTGATTCAGGAAGGTAATTAAACAGCTGCCCACCTGGAGTCAATAGGGCTATTCACATGCACTTAAGTGCTGCTGACGCCAGGCGGAGGGGAATAGACTTCTCAGGGGGAGACTTTTGCTGCAAATACTAGTGCTAATTCAAAATTCACTTTCTACAAAGTCCTTCTCCTGCAGTCAGCTGAAATCAGCTATATCCACTGTTGTGCTTGCCAGGAAACTTGACAGAATGTTGCCCAAAGTGAACATAAACGACAAATAAACACAGCAGAAATTAATAACAGGAGTTCAGACCAGTAGGTTGCAGAAGATGTGTTATAAATTTCATCCAGCTGTAATGCAAATTCTGCCAAATGATGAGGAACATCTACCTTTTTATATCACTGTTTCACTACATATTAATAGCAACCAGTTACTGATGCAGTACTAAAATATTAATGATATGGTCATAAACCTGAATCAGTGCCTAACTTGGCAGAACAACGGAGGGCAACTTTTCAATCACGTGTGAACAAAACCAGTTTTCAGAAACCATTTTGTTCCTGTGAGACCATGTGAATAGAAGTAATTGCAGGGCTATTTTAGGCCCCCAAATTGTTCTTCCTTGGAAAATCAACAGCCCCTTTGAGGTGTGCAGTATGGGTGCCCAGATATTTATGCAAGGCTGAGAGAATCTCAAAGCAGGCAGAAACAAAGTTCATGCAATTAATTAGTAAGATCTCATCTGTGATTTCATCTGCAGCTGCTATGACTGACTTTTATATGTCCATTAGAGCCAATAGACTTGAGGCCCTGGGGACTGATTGTTTCAGCAGGATTTAGCTCTTTGTTCTGGACTTAGGTAGAATACGTTCACCAAGCAAGGCAAGAAAGCCAAAGCAAAACCCAGAGCTTTTGTACCTGACTGATATAAGCAGGTAAATTTATGAGCTCTGCATTGTAACATCTGTGACCACAACAAAAATTTAGGGATGTTAAAAGGACTTAAAAGTTAGGGACTTCCACCTTTTATATTTCCAATCTGCTCCCCAGGCCACCCTACTCAGGACAACTTCAGGGCAGCTGCCAGCTAAGGAAGGCAGCCTTTAGGATCCTTGACTGAATCTGTAAAGGGGAATCAGGTCTTGAAGTCTCCTTGCTTCTCACTTCAGCTACGTTCCAGCAGAACTGGGCTGGTCCATTTTATTATTCACATTTGTCCCTTTCTATCAAGATGAAGCCATGTATCTAAGTTCCTTTCAAACACCTTTAATTGAAGCTACAAATTAAGGGGATTAAGGACAGACACAGAAGGATTCTGTGTACTCTGCACAATTCCCAACAGCAGCTAGCACCCCAGGAAGAGCTGAATACTGAAAGAATAGTTTGTTTCTACTCTTCCAAAGGACACAGCTAAAGGCTCTCACTCATGGCTAGCATCACTCTCCCCTGCCCCTCACCAGGATCTAAAAGAGGTACTGGAGGAAACTCGTGTACAGCTGATGTTTTATGTAGGCGTATTAATACCAACCCAAGGTCTTTGCCTTAAAGGTCTTTCTCTTCTTCTCTGAGTCACTGGGGCACAAGTAAGCTGACTTCAATCAAGAATAACTGATTTTTCAGTTTAGAAGTGCAGAGAATGGCATGAAATTAATTATGTCACAAAAAAAAGAAGGGTCCTTTTCTTCTGGTTTCCTATTGCAGTCACATAAATGAGGATCCAAAATACCACTGAGATATCACTTAACACTGTTAGCACATGTGAGGTGGGTCAGATCCCTGCCACAATGTCTGTATTATTCGCTAACCAGAGTTGTTGCAGTGATAATCTTTTCTTCACTGTATCTGCAAGCAGATGCCATCAAGGTGCAACTAACAATCATCCCTTTCAGAGTAAGTGATCATAGGCCTTCCATTGCTCTCCCATCCACTGGCTCCTTGTTTATTAATGACAGAGTTAAAATTTTAGTGTTGCTTCTGCTTAGGTGGAAGATAACAAACATCTACTTGATTGACCCCTGTCCTACAACTAGTAGTTTCTCTTACAGCTCAAGTGGTACATAATGCAGTCTTACTGCAAATAAAGTTGCCAAAACAAAGATATTTTTTGGTTTACAAGTTGGGAGAGGAGGAGAAAAACTGCCCATGTTTGGAAACTTGTTCTAGCAAGACACTGGAAATGCATTGAGCAGCATGAGAACCTCTAGCAGTCATTCATTTCTGGTCTCTGAGAACCAGCATGTCAGTTCCTAACAAGGTCAATGGCAAATGTATTTTAGGGCACCTTCATATGCCAGATCAATCAGCACTAGTGTTACACATGGAACACAATTACACCTCCAAACATACCTACTCTTTGGACGAAGTCCATGGTCAGCTCAGCTCCAGTTCAACTCCAGGATCTTCTTTCTCTCTGTATTTTCTGGGACAAAGACCTGTGGAGGACAATGAAGAGAAAGATAAAGATTCTTCCAGACCCTCTCCCATATGTGGCGCAAAATGCAGGTGCCTATAGATGGGTCTGAGGAGGCTATAGGGCCTGCAGAGCTGCCATGGTAAAGCTACATCTTGAAACTGTACAGAGCAGCTCCCACAACATCTCCTACATCTAAAGTCTGCTCTAAAAAACAAAAAAGAAATAGTCTCTTGGAAGAAGACAAGTCAAACATAACTCATCCCTTTATTCTTTTTCTCTCTTACCATGCTCTACAGATGATCGTTTCATCTCATTCTTCTGTTTCCAAGAAAGACCTTTCTAATTCCTCAGGCAATATTCAGAGCAGGCAGGTTTTTCTTTGAGTGTTCAAGGCTGATCTGATCAATTAGAAAAAGAAGGTTACAGTACATTTTAAACCAAATACCCCACAGGATAGAACCTCATTCTAGAAGAAAAATATTTTTTGTTAGCAAGTAAATGCAAGGAAATGGTAACAGGGATTCAGCACAACCCCTTTTCTCATGTGTCCTGTGGGATTTTCTGCATTGTTCTCTCTGTTTAAAGGGTTTAAAATACAAGGGTAAGGCTGCTGCAGTCCTGGACATGTGAGTTCTGTTCCCTGTCTGGATACAAAGTGCCACGGATCACACAAAATTCTTCCCAGCTGCTTTGCCTTCCCACATTTCTGTCCTTGTTCACTCATGAAAGCTATGAATTCTCTCCAACCACAGACTTTCTCCCAGCATGTGATGTACCACAGGGCCCCACAGCCTTATCTGAGGCTGTTCGGGCCCAGCTGCAATGTAAAGATTCTGCACCACTGGGACTCCCTTACAAGGTTTAGAGTCTCTCTTTGCAACAGCAAACATCCAGTGAAATACAACCGCTTCCTCAAGGTGAGTGTTCCCAAAGGCCTCGGGAATCAGAGCTGACATAATGTGAAATTTGCTTCCCCCTTTACCAACTCTGGTTAAATAAACTCATGTTCTGTACAGTAGGACACACTTCATTTTCCTCTCCCTCTTGTTGATTCCAAAAGGAGACCACATAGACCAACCATCACAGCCAATTTGATTTCCAATTTTCTGGGTAGCTTTGCAATCACACTCCATTTGTCACCTGAATGCAGTATTGAATTTGCAGCCTGGGTGTGAATGACTTCTGGAATTATCTCCCTTGGACAAGACACCAGAGCAATTCAATAGCAAGTAAACAGAATACAGAAATACCCCTGAATAGGATTATGTCAGGTTTCTAAATCCTAACCCTGTTACTTCAGCAGCTACCCATTTCTCTTTTCTTTCTTCCTTTCTGGCTAACATTTTCTTTTCCAGGACTCAGTTCAGCATCACCAAAACAATCAAATATACTCTGTAAAGTTCTTAGGACTGCATGAGCATTTAGAGCTTGGCGAGCTGTATTGTAACACCAATCACTGACCCCAAAAGCTGATGTGATCAAACACATCCCCCCACGAACGAAAGAATCAGGCTGAATCAGTTTTACCATTTTAAGGAAAATAAATCCTAATCCTCTGCTGCTCTGTGGTATTCCTCTAATTGCTGTTTCCTTACACATTCAAACATCCACAGTTTGGTTCCGTTGTTGGAATGTCACTTGGAATCAAATCAGTGTTGCAGATTCAACATCTTTGAACCTTTTAGTCCAGCTGTGAACTTTGGGCTTAATCCTTTAGGGCGCCCTTGTCTAGCAAGCTTTAATGTATATTAAATTTTCTAAAAGGAGAGGAAAAGTGGTCAAAGCGAGATAGTGCAAGGTTCTGTGTTTCATAAATTAATAAGCATCACCAACTGCATTGCTTGACCCTTTAAACTCTGTGAAATTAATATAAGTAGACAACCAAAGTGCACTTGGCCCCTGAAGAGCCTTGGAAGTTCACTTAAGCAATCCAAGTTTCCTTAAAGTTTTATAAGCCAGCTTTTAAAGCAAGTCCTTTGTACTTATTACTGGTGACAGTGAGCATTACAACAGCCAATGAACCTTTGCTGACTCCCGACCCCAATATGGTAGAGCACAGTTATCAAGGGAAATATCAGAATCAAAGCTTGTATATTACATTGAGGTCCTGACTCTTGAAAGAGCCCCCCATAGACTCTTCAGAGGATGTCAGTGAAATAAACAGCTAATATTCCCAGACATCTACTTATGATGTACGGATGGTAGCGTTTACTTAAGCCCTTTTGGTATAGTATCACCACCCCACCACCCCCAACAAAAACTGAAGCCTCTTAGGGAAGCAAGCTGTGGTACTCTCAGGTCCCTTGCAAGAAGACAAAACCTAAAGATCTTTTATTTAGCCAGGAAAAACTCTTCACTTGGCAGTGGTGAGTGAAGCAACGCTCGGTCTTCATCTTAGCCGATTAATGGGTTTAAATTATTAAGTGGCATTAGGTAGGCATGGTGAGGAATACAGTCTTCCCTCAGCCCTCCACACAGGGTGGGACTGCCTTGAACAGTGAGGAGAATGCATATGCACACCTCCTGTGCTTTGGTATTAATCTTGCAGTCACTTGTAATACCTGAGTTAGTGTCCTATAGAAATAAGATACCTCCCCATTGCCAGCTGATTATATTTTTCATAATGTAAAAGGTTCTTGCTGAATTATTCAGGTGTTTTCCCTGCCACTTAACAACAAAAAAGAGACAGAAAAGCTAAGGCAGCCAGTGTCTAGGAATAAACACACTGAGGGGCAGTATTGCCCAGTATTAGTAATTAGTATTGAACTGTAAAGCCCAAGTAATGATGATGTTTGACCTAAACTTTTCAAGAGGAAGAAGAATTTCACCAAACAGGCAGGTGATGAGAGATCACAAGATTATCTGCCGAAGGGCATCGAACTCCACTGGCATGTATCCTCCCAGCAGTGAAGTCAGGAGGCAGGTGTTATCGCTTTTCTCCACCTGCTTACAACATTTGGGTGAAGCTTTTGGGGCTATTTTATGCCACTGGTTTCCACTTGTTCATCTCATTTGTTTGTCTAGATCTGGGCACTGACAGAGACAATAATATCATGGCATGGAGAAAAATCCATTAACATACATCCACATTTTATATGTATACCACATACAGTCATACATAAGAAATACAACTCAAAGAGAAAACAGAACTCAACTATTAGGAAATAATTGATGAAATTTCTTACCAGAAACAGAGATAACAAGAAGCAGCTGGAAAAACGAGGTACTTTCAAGGAATGTGGCTCACAGCTCCCATGCAAAGTGAATGCCTGGTGACAGGGTTGCAGTCCCTGCCAGGCAGATGTCTACGCTAAGAACAGTGAAGTTGATTTAGCAGCTCCCTGATTACTGAATATAAATCACTTTTTAAAAGTTTAGGGGTGCACAAATAAGTTCTAATGAGAACAAATACTGCTGGTCCAGTCCCATGAAAACAGCCAGAAACATATCTCCAATTGATTTCCCTTGATTCATTTACTTGAGGGTGCAAGCACGATTTTCTTGTTCAGAGTTAGCTCAGATTCCTCTATGCAGCACTTCCCAGTGATACAGACATAGACTTTGGTCCTTCCAGCCCACCAGCTATTGAGACCATGGGTGTTTGAGGGTTAATAACTCACTGGTGATGGCCTTGGGGTTCCACCTTCCTGCCCTGCAGCCATGCTCCAGCTCATCTGCCTACCAATGAAGACTATCTTCACTTCCAGCCTCCTACCTCCACAGGAGCCAAAAGGGAAAATCTTGCCTAATCAACTGTGAAGAGGACAGAAAGCAATGGCCATTGTCCACTCTTAATCAGTAAAGTGTTTCCCTTCATGTGCCTGTCTGCCTTGGTTTCAGTGTACATATGCCTGAAGGAATGTGGAGCAACTCCAGATTCACTATGTGTGAGGTGGAAATGACCTGGGGGTAACCCAGGTGATTCTTTTCCAGTAGGTAAGGGAAGGTTTAAAATGGGAGAAATTGGAACTGGACCTTAACATGTCCCTAACTATTGACACTAAAGCAAAAGAGACACAGAGATAATATTGCTGAGGGGGTAAAACTTCACCCACTTGAAAAAGGTCTGGTACCAGCTACACGCTCTGCCAAATAGCATCTACTTAATCTAGTTCTGCCCATATGGGCATTCACCCCAGTGCTGCGTTCAGGCTACTGACACTGCAGCAAGCTCAAATACTGAATTACCCCCCAAAAGAAACCCCTTCTACACAAACCAAACACACTCTATAGCCCTGAAAAAAAAAAAGGAGACTTTTCCACAGCTCCAGAAATATTCATTTGACAGTTTCTCCTTCCTTGACTACAGCTCCAGTAATTGATCTGCTCTATTATTTTTCCCCATTCTTTCTCTTTTACATTTAAATACGTCCTTCATATTTCTGGAGCTTTTTTTTTTCCCAGCCTGTATCTCCACTGTTACATTATTTTTTATCTCTCTCCTCTATTCTTCATGTGTGAAAAGGGTGCTCTGTTCTCTAATATTCATTTTTCTTTTTTTATTCTCCAAGTACTTTCTTTCCCATCTGTAACAGCCCCTAATATGCACCTCCATTCGATTTTACCTACCCAGCTTGAAACCCTCTCATTCTAATTACCTTTTCAGTTTTCTTCTATTCCTCCCTTGAGATGTCTCAATTAGTGTACTTTTTCTTACTGGCTGTCACCTCTGAGCTACAAGGTGGGTCTAACTCCAACTTAAACCATGCAGAAAATAAATGAGGAGCTGTTCTTGGCAGCCCTGCTGAAGGTGGTGTTACTTTACAAACTAGTGCACCTTTAATAGATGATAAATGGGCAGAAAAGTGGCCTTGTTAATGCAGCAGCCCTTGATTTGGTTGCCATGCTGTGTCCTTTCATTACTCAAAGATACACGAAAGGCAACCTATGCTAAGTCCTGGGTGATGTAATTCCATACAAAGAGAGTGAGTAGAGGCTAATTAACATAGTTCTGGTCAAAGCCTGAAATTAACTCGTCTTTAAAGACTAAAGCTAAAAATGTCATTTGTCTTGCCCATAATTATGTTTAGAGGTAATTATGGTAGCAGGATAACAGCAAGCAAAATGAGTCTAGGAGTGGGGTTTTCTGCCCTTTCTATCTCTAGCAGAACTCTAAATTCTCTTCCTGTCAAAGAGAACTGGATAAAAATGCAGGTGACATCTACAGTACTTTTCTTTGGTTAAAACTGGCACTGTCATATCAAAGTTCACACAGAGCTTTCAGAATCTGAGGACTAAATGCTCGCTCTACATGCTCTCAGATAATGGGAAAAGGAGCATGGTCCCCACTGCAGCCTGGACTGTGCAGGGAAGGGAGATCTGTGCCAGGCTTGGACCCGAGAACCACATCCAGTGGAACATGTCCTGCCACATGCATCTGACCCAGGTCACTTCAAAT